GCCGGCCGCACCGCCCTCTGCCTGAGGCCGCGCCGCCGGGGGTGGCGGAACGAACCCGTTGCCTCTCGTCGCAGGCCGGCTGGTTGCCCCAAGCTAAAATGGGCCAGGGCAGCCAGCCTGCGGGCCCCGGAGGGGCGTGCGCTTCTCCAAGTCCTGCGGGAGAAGCGGGCAACGCCCGGGGACCGCGGCCTCCTAGGCCGCCCCGGTACGAGCTGGCAGAGCCCGGCTGCCGGCGCTGCTTACGGTCCCTCCGATTTACCCCCTCCGTGATGCGCACCGGCAATCTGCAAAGGCGGGAGAAGCCCGCTTGTAGTAAGTGTGTGGGGTCGTCATTCAGCACTGACAGAATTAGGATTTCGGGCGTCCTGTGTGCTGTAATGCTACAACGTGTACCATTTCCTGATTTTAGGCAGTGTGAGTGTCACTAAACCTGTCACATAGATACCTTAGAACATTTTTGTCTTAGTAACACCCAGTTAGTGAACCTCCTTTTTTAGCAGAAAGAGAAATACTGTAGAAGTTAGTGTATAATTATCACACGAGCATCCTAGGACACTACTACAGCTGCTTAGTAACAGTAACATCTAGCACCGTGCATCATTATTGATGGGAAATAACAGCTTGGAAAGGCGAAGCGATTTGCCGTAGGTTACCAAGCAGGCTAGCAGCACAGCCAGGAATAGGACCCTGCATACATATGATTCCCTGTCAAGTGTTTTCTCCTGGTTTAAAAACAGAACTTCTAGATGATCTACATAATTTCTGTACGGTCTGGTAGAATGGAAAGTTTTCTGACACTGGCAAATCTGGACTGCGTAATTGCTGAAACACTCCTATCACGGATGCTACAAACATGTTCTATATCCTAAAATTTAAGCATTTATATTATTACATGATGGTTACAATAACATGAAGCACGTGTCAGAAGAGTGGTGTGCCTCCTTCCTTCACCCTCCCTACAATACTTCCCAAAAACTTACCTAGTTTTCCTTCTCTATCCTTCTCACTAAGCCATTGGCTCTACAGAAGGCAACTAACAAGTACAGAGTTGTTCTACAGTATTTGATAACCCCAGCTGTTGAAGACACCAGTAATTCCAAACTTCGTGTCAATTCATGAAAACTCATAATCTCTGTGAACTCTTGTGTACATCCTCAGCCCTTTAAGCACTCAATTCCTCTCCTAACTTTCTGGATGTACCTTTCTCTGAAGTCAGTCAAATCAACAATGAAGTGACACGCACCAAGAGAAGTGCACGAAAACACATTTGCAGAATTGGGGCTTAAAGCATTCATCAATAACGCTCCCTCATTCTGCAGTGGAGATGGGTGAGTTCATTTGCATACATTAGCATGTGAAATGTCCGTGTTTAGATGTGGTCCTTCAGCAAAATCTGGTCTTGCTAGTTACACACAGAACTATTCTTTAATCATGGATTTTTCTTTTTACTTAATTATTACAACCTGTTGCTACTACTAAACAAGACCGAGTAGATACTTTTGTATACTCGGCACCTTCACAGTACTTACCATCTAATCTAAAAAGGTGAAATGCTGATCTCTACAAAAAAAAGTTGTAAGGTAGAGAAAAACCCTTCTAAGATAATGTGTTTTATCAGCTGTATGTTAGCCTGTTTTTTTCCTAGCTTCACAGATATTGAAGTATCTATAGCACATCTGGTGCCTTAGAATAAACAATTATAGTCTGGGGCTGCTAGGGCTCTCCTCCTGAGGATGCACAGCATCTTAATGTTTGATGCTGGTGGCAGCAGTGCCGGTGATTTACTAGTTGGTTGCTTTGGGTTTTTTTTTTTTTCCAGATAGGTGAGATCACACACAGAGATGTGAAGCCTCTTCCAAATGACTATAGCGCAGCGCCCCCCCACACCCCAAGAACAAATAGTCTAAATGAAAAGTACAGTATTCAAGATGTCCTTTGCATGGGCAAATGTAAACCTCAGGCCTGGGCTCATATGGGGGGGTTAGAACCCGTGTGGTACTAAAATTAATCTCGAGCAATCCTTGTTCGATTGGAAGAATTTTGAGGCTGTATTTAGTGCCCGTTTCTAGAACTCCGATCTTCACAAATGAAGGCTTACTTTGCAGTAAATTTTACAAGGTGTAAATACAGTAATGCCTTCTCAAATCATCTGTCACTTGGGAGAGCAGTGAGGTTGGTGTAAATGAAGTAACAATATCTAGTGATGACCACAATGCAGTGCTGACCTGTGTATAAATAACTGCTTACCACTGAGCAGCATGCGGATGGGGTAGAGAATCTAATTGGTTTTGAGGAATGGGATTACAGTGAACTTTGCTTAGGGAGTCAGGAGAAAAAAAATCAGGAGAGAAGGTTAGTGCAAAGAGGAAATTAGCATTCATATAATCTTGAAACTTTGTGAATAACAAAATATTTGTAATCATGTTGCTATGACACCCAGTAATGACTAGGAGCCTTCATTTTGAGTTAGCAGGTAGACATATGTAGAAGGAATGCAAATAGTTAGGTTATTTTTAAAAATGTTCTCTCCACGTTGTGTAAATTTCATATAATACAATAGGCAGTTTAGGGACCAAGACCAGAAATGGCCCCTAAACCAAATGATCCCTTTTCACCCTTCGGTCTTATGCTAGTGACCCTTGTATGCACTTGCCAGCATCAAACAGATATGAAGATACAGCTGGAGAGGTGAAGCATATTCATATTTCGTATCTTGTGAAAGATAGCAATTCCTTGTGAATTTTATGAAAGTAGGAAGGCAAAAGGAAAAAAAAAATGTTGCTGGTAATCCCACTAGGAGAAAGACTCCATGACTCCAACATCAAAGAATCTTCACTGGACCATATCCTCAAGACCAAAGTAATTGGAAACCAATGTATTTTGTTACGCTGCTTGCAGAATTACTTCTTTTTGTTTGTTTCTGCCTTCTCCTACTCTTTTTTTTTATCTTTTACCCTTCTCCCAGAATACTGGCCATTAAAGGACTGGCATAAGCGGAAGAAAACATGGGCCAAAAGATGCTTTTAGGCTCAATGCGAGTAAAACGCCACTCAGTTTCTTGAAAGCGCTGGGACTTCTGCTCTGTGAACCTTGCCCTATGTCTGCGAGATGCAACAACAGAGTGGAGCATAGTTGGCTCAAAAAAATGCTCATGAATGTTGCATTCAGTGTCCCCTTTCAAATGTCGTAGACCAGGAATCTTGCTTCAGTCTGAAGCTGCAGCAAGTCAATCTGGCAAGCCATTATGTTTTGATAGTTTTCGTTGCTCAACTAGTGGCCTGCCACATCCTGGGAAAGTTGCAGTTTTCATGACACCTCTCTTTCTGGCTCCTCCTAGAAAGAGGCTTTGGAAGTCTGCTTGCTCAGGAGATGGCAGTGAACAAAAACATTTTTTTCTGTTGTCATATCTACAAAGATTTAGGTTGTTCCCCTAAGTCATTCTAGCTCCTACAAGGACTGCTGCAGAGATCCCTGAGTATTCATATAGATGCTGGAAAAGCCATTCAAACTGGCTTTTTTTTACTTTAGAATACTGGCTTTAGACTTTGCTTCTTTGCGCTCCCTGTGTACCAGACTGGCTACTCCAGAATACTGGCTTTATACTTTGCTTCTTTGCGCTCCCTGTGTACCAAGGGATATCTTCCAGGAGAAGCTATAGTAAAAATTGTACTTCTTTTATAGCATTCTCAAATTCCCAAATACTATCTTTTTATAGTATGTCCTTCTTTTATAGCATTCTCAAATTCCCAAAGGAGGCAGTTTAATCTTCTGAATCAGAGCTGGAACAAGACATGTAGGTGCCAGTCTCCTCAAACTAGCCACATCCCATGGAGGTTCTTGCATCTTCCAGGTGCTTTCTGACCCCAATGACCTTCCAGTGTCTACACCTGTCCTTCAGGATTTTCCACTCAGCCATTATTGCCACCGTAACTGGGTTCTGGACTGCAGCCTGCACCGCTCTGTGTGCATATCCTCCATTTGGCACGTCTCTTGGAAGACATCCTTGGAGAAGCACCACGGGTGATCCAGCCCAGCATGCTTCTGCTTTCCGCTTCCCTGGGTAGAATAGTACTTCAGCACTCCTACTCTGAAGTTCAAGGTTGTTGCTAAAATGTATTTATTCTTCTCTGCCAGATTATTTATTCTGAGCAGTATGGCACAGGGATTCTTTATCCATACAGTTTTTCAAAGCCACATATACCATTAAACATATGACAATACCATTAAACATATAACAATGCCATTAAAACCAGCTAAAAAAAATTAAGTTCCTTGGATGGCATGGGAGGGGGGACAGAGAAGAGAAAAGAAGAGAAGAAAAAGTAGATCTGAAAAGCAAGATTTCCACAGCACTACACGTGTAGTTTGTCAAAATTTGCAGTGTTTCAGCAATCCCTTTTTTTTTTTTTGTAAAATAAAGATTTGATGGAAAAAAAATTCTGCTTTCATCCCAAGGAATGTTATTAATGAAGTCATGCATCCCCATTTAGACAGCTGCCTTCCCTGACTCAACCTGGTATTTTTCCTTTGCTAGGTTGAAAGATAAAGATGCTATGTGTTTGGCAGTCATTTAGATTGGTATTTTTGTTTAAATTAAATCGAGATTTTTTTCATTGGACTCATTGCCTGGAGTTCTGTCTGACGCTCTCTTAGCACTGGCGATGATTGCTAACTGTTTGCTCCCTTAATATCCTGAGATTTTTTTCATTGGACTCATTGCCTGCAGTTCTGTCTGACACTCTCTTAGCACTGGCGATTGCTAACTGTTTGCTCCCTTAATATCCTGAAATAAACCCTGCACCTCAGGCAGAATGTGAGGAAATCTGGGAATATTATACGCTTGTGTTTTGTCAGCTATATGCTGATAAACAGTTCAAGGATATCAGATGAGACTCTGGATGGTTGTACTGGCCTTAGATCAGTAAAAGCTTTGTTAGATGCTATTTTGACTCCACAGCTTTGTGTCAGGGCGCTGAGTGCACAAATAGACCTTAATTTCTGTGATGGCCTCAACGGGGGCCTCCACCCTCACCCTCTGGTGGGCCTGGGTGTTCATTCTTTCCTGAGCTACACCTCAGCTGTGCTTACCTGAATGCCAGGGGCTCCTGGACCAACCTCGGAACTAGCCTGTTACCGTGTCTTGCCTGATGATCCCTGAACCATCAACAGGCCCCACTGCAATAACCACCCTGCTCTGCTCACTTGCCTTTGGCGCAGTGGGGCTGCGCCCCGTTGGTGGGGTCACCGCTCGGCTCGCCTTGGGGTGCCCTCGGCTCCTGGCTCACCTGCCCTGAGGGAGCAGTGCCACCATTGCAGCTCACTGATGCTTTGCTTCCGAGTTCAGAGCACCTGAAAATGCAGGTTCATTTTAGAAAAGCGATCTTGTCTGCTACGGTTGCTGCTGGTTGGCTTTTATAAAGCAATGTTTATATTTGCATTTCAGAGGAAATTTAGGTACAGTGTTCAGTAAGACTGGTGTCACCTGTAGTCCCCATTTAAATCAGAGTTCACTCCTACAGCCCAGCTCCACCAAGGCCTGCCTCCACAGTGGTTATTTAGGGTGTAGTTTCATGTCAGGGTTACACCACGTTGTATTTGCATTGCTGCTAAAGAGGGCTCCTGCCCTCCTCCTCTGCCACACACCGCTGCTCCCTCAGCTCACATCATGATCTCGCAGAAGACGAGCTGATCAAAAGCATGAATAGTTCCTGGGTGAGCAGTGAGCTGATGTGAACCACAGGCAGTCACGCAGCTGTGTAGGTGTGGCACAAGAAAGGGGACAGGAACCCATACCTGGGGGTGTGAAAGGGGACTGTCTATAGTTCACTGCATTAGGGATAGCGTGAAACCACATATTTGAGGTCAAGTTATACCAGACAGCTGAGTCAATCTGTCAAAAAGAGGACTTCTTACTTCCCCTTCCCATCCCACTCCTTCTACCCTCCTTCCTCACGCACAGCATTTCCCCCACCGTTCACGCCTGGGGCTTGTCAGATTCTGCTGAGCTGATTCAATGCACTAACTTGGCAGAAAAATAGCCATTTAGTCTGGTCTTCTGCTGGACTGGTGGGTTGATTTGGCTTACAGTGGGGTCTAGCAAGCACCAGAGACAACGAAAGGTAAGTAACACAAGTGGGAGTGAAATTGCCCCTTGCAGTATCCATGGGTTATTAACCCAACTTTGGACGTCTCTTAACCTTTTGGAGAAGCTGCAGGCAACACTGAGCTCCTGCTCCCTTTCCCTGCGCTCTGCCCTATATGTCTGATCCCCTCCTTCCATTGGTATGTATCTATTGGGGTATGGGGTTTGGTTTTTTTGGCTGAGTTACCTTTCTGGCTGAGGCACCAGAGCTGGCACAAGAGAAGCAGTAGGAAACAGTGAGATGTGGCAGGTGTAGGATTACCCCTTCCCGCAGCAGTGACCTGTTCTCTTGGCTGAGCTGATCTTGTCCCACTGCACCGATGTGAAGGCCAGGATGGAGAGCATGATCCTCCTCCCACAGATCCATGACCATCACATCATCGCTGGGATTACAGCGGGTCTGAGAACGAAGTTAGGCAATCACCTTATTCACCAACAAAGTGCTCTATGTCACTGTAGGCAGAAAAGGCAAACAAATAATTGCAATTATGCAATTAATACTCCCAGAACAATTCAACACAGCTGCTGACCATCTTCCTATGACAGCTTTTGCTGTCATCAAGTTACTCACTGAGTGGGTGCATCCAGGCCAGCTGAGCCTGTGGCTGACTAATCTTACTTCCTTTCCTTTGCAATCTCATAAAAGTCTTACTGCAATTACAACTCTATTTCAAACCCCAGATTATTTATCTCGCATAACAGCATTTTTATATTTTTGTCAAGTATTGTAGAAAGTCTGTTCAACAGCAAAAAGCAGATGTACGTATGTACACATACAGAATGAATTCTCACGGTAATATCTAGATTTGATATTAAAAATGTTCTTCAGTAAATCCCAGAGTATTTTACAAGAGTTGTTATGAACCCTATGTACAAATGGGGAAACTGAGGCACAGAAGTGCAGTGTTTTTCACTTAGCACTAATTGTAAGAGTCACTGGACAATTTCTGAATTATCTTAACTGGCAGTACTGGGTGAAACTGTACCAAGAGAAGGAAAAAAACCCACCAGTTAATGTTTTACCAACTTAGGACGTCAGAATGGGATGCTGTGAGTAGGAGCCTTTGCTGTAGCAACTTTTGATTTTTTTTCATGAAGTGGCTGCTTGAATACAAGCATAATATTGCTTACTTGAATGACAGTAATCGACAGGAACACAATTTATTTAGGCTGCATGTGACCACTACAGGCACTTCAGTTTTGTCATCTGTTATTTACACTTGCAGCTAGTTTGTTTTGTCATCTGTTATTTACACTTGCAGCTTGACTCCTTACCAGTAACTGGATGGACAGACGACAGGATGGCATGAGATCTACTAAAGAATGAAGATAGCCTATTGACATAAGCGTTGGCATTTACTCTGGGTGTTTACAGATTGACTTAAAACACAGAAATCTGTCTGGCTACAGCATAACTTGAGAAGGTTTGAGAATTAAGACCATAACTAAACTACAAGGTCTCATTAGAAATTTGTATCCTAAATTTATAGAATAACCTTAACAAAGATTAAGATGTGTTATTTCAGGAGTGAAGGCTCGTCCATCTCCATTGTGAAGAAACCACCTTTGCAATAAAACAAACCTATCCATTCACAAATTCAGTTCCACTTCTAGGTATGATTGTATAGTACCTTTTCTACTCCAGATTTAATGGAAACAAAGGAAACCAAATGCTTATTCCTAGAAGATTTTGAAACATTGATTTCTATGAAAAAATAAGTATTTATTATATTCATTTTGCTAACGAACAGCCTGAATGAATTTACAAAGAAAAAATTTCCTAAATATGCCGCTACAGCAAAAGAGCTGGAACAGCCAAGTCCCGATTTTCCATTTCCCACAAGGGCGGGGGGGGGTGTTTGCAACTGCTTAAGCAAAACCCACACGAATCCAGATGCCAGCTCTGATTTATAAATTTGTTCTTCTAAAACAGAGCCAACCAACATAGTCCTGCCCTCATTACTACACAGCATTTGTTGCCTAACTAT